AAATAGAAAAGATAAGACCTTCTTATTTTATATTCTAGCTTGTCAATGTCTGTAATTTGAGTTTCTAATTCATATGAAACTATAGACTTAGTATGTTGACTTCACAAACATCTAATTTGAACCACTGCTGCATTCAACATTACACACAAAGATTGATGTTTATCTGTGTTTTTTAATATTTACTTTTAAATTAAGAAATTGAGTAATGTATAGTACTAAAATTTTAATTACAATTGCTGTTTAATACCAAAGTTATTGACATAAGTTCATGAAATAGTAGTTCAATAAAATTTTGAATGCGAGTCAACAAATGAGATGACATGGCTTTTCACCTGTGAACCACCTCGAAAGGGTTAATATGGATTACTTATTAGAGCCACTATTTTCCTTTGACTGCGTGAGAGTTATATTTTTACTTGGTATATATTCCATAAGGCTAGGAAAGATTGGTAGATCTTATTTTTATTCCTTTTATTTGGGTGGCTATTGTATCAATATTAGATAATCAATAGTAAAACTATCCACTGCTGAAAATTCTTCTTTTTCGACTTTCTTTTTTGTTGATTACATTTTTGAATTTGCTCTTTATCTTCTTCAAATCTAAAGAAGTGAAAAACATATTAAAAAAAACAGAGAAAATTTTCAGCTGTAATATAAAATGTTGTACTCCAGTATAAAAAAAAAGTAATAAAATTCCTTAGATCTTAATTTTCTTCATATGTAATTAGTTTAGTGATATCATTTTTTTGTATTTATAGCCTCCAAAACAACAGCCAAAAAAAGATCCAAAAGCTGCAACAGCTAAAAAGAAGAAAGAAGGAGGTTCTGCTGGTGGAAAAGCTAAGAAAAAGGTTTGTAATATTATCGAGTCTTATTGCTTTGAAATAATCACACCCAGTAGCTTAGAATTAATGATCAAAGAAAGTATATTAACATACTAAGTGGAGAGTTTACATTTGTGTGTTTATTTCACACTGTAGAAGTGGTCCAAGGGAAAAGTGCGAGACAAACTTAACAACCTTGTGTTGTTTGATAAAGCTACCTATGAAAAGCTCCTTAAAGAGGTACCGATGTATAAGCTGATTACACCTTCTGTTGTGTCTGAAAGGTTAAAGGTCCGTGGATCCCTTGCTCGTAGAGCCTTGGAAGAACTCCATCAGAAAGGTGAGGAAACATTAAATTTTTTTAACATAGTATGTAACAGAAGGTAAAAATTCAAATACTCTTGTAATTGAATTAATTTATTTTTATATCTTTAGCCAAGCAGCAATTTCTCAGTATAGAACAGCAACCCTCTTTTTCTTATACATTCGCCTGTAGTGGTGGTATCCTTTACACTGACAATATAGGTATTTAGTATCTCAAGTAAAAAGTAATTTCACTGAAAAAAATTATTGAATTATTTACAATAGTTTGCATGTCCATATAGGTACAGCTAAAATATCTTTGAGGTTTATGAACAGGTTTGTTATGCAGATGATTGAACATGTTATATTAAAACAGTTTTGAACATATTAATAAGCAGGTTATTTATGTGACAACCACAACTGATATTATGTAAAGTTGGAATAGCACGTGCCTATCAGAACTACATTTGATATTTCTCAGGTGACATGATAACACTAAGAATTAATAACTCTAGAAAAAGGTATTTTGCAGCCCTTTCTGCTGCAAAATATTCATACACTCAGGCCATAAAGATATGTTCAGATCAGGGATTTATATTATCCACATTTGACATTTTGTGTTTGAAAATCTGAATATACACACATTTGTTTTACACTGCAGAACAAACATATACAGTGCCATTATGTACTGAATGACATTGGAAAATAAATGTGGATGAGCTTGTTGCCACCATTTTATCCATCCTTAAAGAGACCTGCAACAAATTGTACCCCAGTTGTGATAAGTAAAGCGAAGTGCCTTGTAATGATTGATAATCCACAAAATACAATCGGTGGCAAAAGCTGTGCGTGTACTCCAGGCAACAGTACACAACATAATCAAGAAACATCCTCAGCTGTCAATAAGACTAACAGGTATGAATTCATGAGCCCATTCAGCCATTGTATACCCCATGCAGCTGGAGAATAAAATAGATATTCATGCTATTCCACATAAAAGACATACTGGTTTAGTTCCCATATGCATCATATTGATTTAAGTTTGATTAGTTTGCGAGTAAACTGTTGTCCTTGTAAACTAGATGGATTATGAAAACTAAGCAGGTAGGAGTGATCTACTTTGACATTATGGAGCCTTTTGTAATGGAAGTTACACTGCAGGGCTCTTGTCATTAATAGCAGTCGTCAGATAAAGAATGGCTGGATGTGGCAACATGCATTGTAACAACATTGAGATGCATCAAAATCAAAAACTTGTGACAAACCTTTAATCCACTTTGTACATAATACATAGCTGTCAAGTTGTGAAATATTTTTGCACCTGGTTTTTGCATCTTTGTTTTGAAGTATAGGAACTGTAGAATGGATATTACAATTTTTTTTTTTGTGAATTTGGTAATAATCTCCAGGCCTTTAAGTCTCTTACATTCCTAATGGGATGACATGTTTTTGAACTTTCTAGAGGCTGATATATAATTTTATTTTTTTAACTCCAAACTTAAGAGTATGCTATATACACTTCTTTGTGAAGAGCCATAACTCCTAGAGATAAGGAAATTTGTCTAAGCCTAAAATCAAATTTCTTTCACTTCGTGTAGAAATTTCCTTCTATAGAAAAGACAAATAAAATTTCGTAATGAAGTCAATAGGAAGTATTTGGCACAAAAAACAAAAAAAAAGGCTCCTTGCACTTCATTTAAATTTTTATCATGAAGGAGGAGAAAGGTCTCTTAGAAGGAGGAAGTTCTTTTTCAGGCCAAAAATCTCCTATTCTAAAGGAACAGATTTAAATAAATTATTCTAATCCTAAGGGTTTTTCACCATTTATATTGTTTATTTAGTTTTCTTAATTTATTTTACCAATTTCTCTATCTTTGCTATAATTACAAAATAGATACATTGAGTTGGACCACTGTAGTATTCCATTGTTGTTTAGAAAACATTTACCAATAAGTTGAGGGTGAGAAAATTTAGATACGAGGACATTTGCTTCTCTCTTCTTCTAATTCTTCTGTGTATTGTTATTTCAGACCATGCCTACATTAAAATGTAAAATTGTACATTAGATTTCATATATGTTAGATTTGTTTTTATTTTTGCCAGCAAGGTTTTATATCTGTTGGTTACATTTGAAATAAGCTTTTTGTATACATGAGTAAAAATGAAACCAGTTTAACTTGGTTACTTGCAAGTATATATGAATAATTACAAACTATTAGTGTTATATGAAGGTGATAAAACAACTTTGTATGCAAAGCTAGATCTACATATAGAACTAAAATTTATGAAACTACAGATAAAACGTGAATGCAAACAATGACTTTCTTGAACATAAGATTTGGTTTATATAATGCATACACAAATTGCATCAAACTAACCAGTTTTGCACATTACCAATACCCATTTTGATAGAACTTTTAAGTTTGTAAAACTTGTATCGTGCAAAACTAACAAAAAATATGCACATTTATAATATATGAGCATAATGGTTTGCATATCACACAAATATGTAGAATCAGATATACTGTGCATACCTTTAACAATGCAGTATTAAAATTTATTCTACTAAAATAACAAAAGAAATGTTTATATACATCTATAAACAGTGTTTAGATGTGTTATATAATGATGTTATGACAATGGATTGTGCATTCCAAAAATTATATTGATTGATTTCCTTTTCTTCTATAAGAAAAAACGCAAGAGAAAGGCTAAATTCCATGAGTAACAATGGTATGCTACTCTCCAAAGTGCGTGGTATACAAACTGCATCTAACACAGTGTATTGCATGTATACTCTGTTGTTTGTCAAACACAGTCTGTATCTTTTCTTAATATATTCTATTTGTTGGTCATGCAGTCGGTTTCAAAGGTGAGTCTGAAAAATATAGTGAATGGATATTTGATCTGTTTTCATCCATCGGTTTTCTGTGTTAAAGTTGTGATCAAACCTCTCCTAAATGCTTTTGAGTATATACTAGTTGATTTGTTAGCTATTTGTATAGTATGAAAAATTTTAAACAATTCCCAGTTGAAAAGTGAAGGAAACTTTTAATGTGATCTGATTATTTTTATTTTATTTTTACCTATGAAATAATAAAAATGATCATTTATATAATTTCCTCCAATGTATATCTGGTTTTTTAATCCAACTAAGTTTATTTTTCTTTATCCCATCTGTCATTTCAACATGTAGAAAGTGCTTAAATGTTTTACTTGTCCACCCATTTAACAGCTAATGTACGGCATATATAAGAAACATAGCTTTATGTTTAAGCAAATGCATAATCCACTGTTCCTTATAAAAGTAAACCCTGTTTTTTTTAAATACATGTATGACATAATGATAGTTTATTAGAGTTAGGGAAAAGTGTAATAGTTGTGTATAAAGGTAGTGTGTCCCATTCTAGTGTTTTTGTCCTATCAATCTAATTACAGTAGCATCAGGTAAACCTCAAACATGCGTATCCCCCCCCTTTTTTTTTGAGCTAGTACACATTTTGAATTTGAGTCAATATCTTCTAATTTGTTTTACAACTTTATTCCCTGCTTCATAGATTTGTTAGATGTTAGGGAAATCTAATTTTATATTTACATACCTGTCTGGGTTTCAATATGTTACTAATTGTTGTAAAAGATTGTCTAAAATGGTTCTGATTTTAAGAAGTTTATCATTTTTAGCTTGATTTCCAGGAAGACTAGAGAGAATTGTTATTTAAGATCATTAAAGTAAAATGTTCTGAAAACCTGTGTGGAGAATATACAACTGTTCTAAAAAGTATGTAAAGGTGGATAATTTGACTAGTACTTTGGAGCACATGGTCCATTGTTGGTCCCTATAGGTACTGTTACTCCGAATTAAGACAACATTCCTTCAACAGTAACTTCAATGAAATTTTTTTTTCTTTCTAATATCAATAGACAAATAACCATTTCTTTCCTTTTCAATAATTTTATAAATTGTTAGCAGTAAAAACAATGTTTACAATCCTTGTGTTGTTGTGATGGAAGGCTCTTCTCTCTTCAAAGATGGTATATCTTCTGGATTCTCATCAGAAATATTTTCCCAGTTCTAGGTTTTACTGTAAGCCAAAGGAACTTGAATGCTGGCTGATTACAGCTGCTCATTCTCTAGATGTTAAATACTGCTGTCTTGGTGGTACAATTTTTGCATCATATGGTCAACTAAAAACCATCCATGTGAGAATTAATTAATCTTAGAGCTACACACTGTTGATTAACTAGGGATATATATACGCAGTAGTTATTGTATTCTTCAGGTTCCATATCTGGTGCAAACTGAAATTTAACGAGTAAACCTATGAATTAACTTTATAATGATGATGACATTTTGTAACAAATTGTTGATCATACTCACACCTCTGAAAATATAGCATGTGAGTGAGATGACATTCAAATTGGTTATATAATGGAAATTTTCCTTTTCTTAAGATTAACTTTATTTTGTAGACTTTTTCACTTGTTTTCATATTAGCATTTAAATTCATAATACTCTAAAATAATACTTAACTTGAAAGCTGGACATTGAATGATTCCTTGTAAATTCTAAACACTTTCACCGTAATCTTACTAAATTACAATATAACTACATTCTCCCTACAAGTGATGACTTGAAGCTTCGTCCTTCAACAGTGGTTATAATAATTAGACCAGTTTTATACTTTGTGTTATGTTTAAGTATTTATTTTTTTAAAGACACATTGATTCTATTTTATAACACAAAATTCAAGGTGACTGCTGTTCTATTAAATACATTTGTAAACCTTTTTGTCACTTTGTTCTCTGATGTTTTTTTTTACCTTAGGCATGTATTGAACACTTGTCATTTTCATTTTGGAAGAGCTTTTTCTTGCTTTGGAAATAAGTTATAACCAAACTTGATGAAACACTTGGTCTAGTATGTAAGTTGGTACAACATTATATATACAGTGGGATTATAATGAAAATTTATCAGTTCAGCACATTGTACCTTAAAAATGGTATGGCATGGGAAGATGAAATTGCACGTTGATGGTTAGGGGCTTAGAGGGATGAAAATTATATTTACCACCAGGGGAACCACTATTACTTAATGTATAGTCAGTCGTAGCAACTCCTCAATATGTGCTTCTCCAAATTCCAGACATTGACATTACATCAGTAACAGCATCTTATCTGGTGTGCTGCAGTTTGTATGGTACATACCTGTCTTCAGGTATCACTGGTGGTAACATGTTGACAAGTGTGGTATTTTCATCTTCCTCTACCATATTGTTATATTTGCAAGATATGATAAAATGAACTGAAACTTTCTTTATAACCTGTCTGTGTATGTATACTGCAGCAATCTCATTTATATTCAAGATTATGCTAACAGTTGTTTAAGAATACAAAAACACAGAAAATGTTTGCTGTATTAACTTTTAACTATTTTTCATTGCTGTTTCAGGCCTCATTAAGCAAGTGGTGAAGCATCACAGTCAGCTTATTTACACAAGGACCACAAAGGGGGATGATGCACAGTGAACATTGTACTTTCCCTCTTGTGTGAAATAAACACTTGTTTTCTATAATGTTTTCCAGCTCGTTTCTAAGCTTGGTTTAAGGTGTGTGTTGTTTAGTCACCATTCATACAAATATATTAATAATAAAAATGCAATACAGTAACACTGAATTTTGTACACGTTAATAATGTTTTTATTGGAATGGAAAGTATAGAATGTGTTGATTTTATAAGCAACACATTATTAAATTAATGGATGGAATGAAACATGAAAGTACTGAACTGATTTCAGATTTAAACATACGTGGAAAATGCAATGGTTGACTTCTGTTTCTTAAGACTACACTTTATTTTTCAAACTCATAAATTGACAATTGAAGGACTTCATTATTTGGTTTGTTGGCCAAGTATTTTTACACCTACGTATTTACACAGTGTAAACCACTGCTTTATAATTAAATTATTATGGATAATACAAACGTCGGGATGTATGGTGTGCTGAAACCCAACGATGACTAGAATTGCATCTTTTAATTACTGGAATAAGACACTTCATTTTAACACTGGTTTAGTGAATTGATATAACGGTTAAAAGAAGTAACAACTTTAAGTATCTCATAGGTAATTGTTGTGTAATTTGATATGTGTTCACTTCTTTTCATCATTTAAAGAATAAATATCAGAAATAGTCCACTCAAATCTTTATTCAAATTTAAAGATCGTACCTACATTACGCTAAAGCATTAACTTTGTTCCAATGAACAAGATTATACACAAAAAAAGCCCAAAAGAAACAATGGACCATTTATTATAATTCCAAAAGTATTTAAGTCGAATCTGAAAAGGTATTAGTAAAGATTATATAATAGTTGTCAAAGTTTTTCTGTACTTCTGCGAACAAAGGTATGCGAGTTTTAAAATAAACTGCATGCATGATTGCGAACATACCTGCTTTATAGGGGCCCTTATTGTTGAATGTCTCGTTTATTTGTATTATATTATCGGCAGATGGCGCTAAGAGTTAAGAGTATTGAACTAGGTTACTTGAATATGAGCCCCCCCAGTGGCACAGCTGTATGTCTGCGGAATTACAATGCTAGAAACCTGGTTTTGATAGCTGTGTTGGGCAGAGCACAGATAGCCCATTGTTTAGCTTTGTGCTTAACTACAAACAAAAACTTTAATATGAAATATTTATTTTACTTTAAAAATTTAACAACAATCTAAATCATGATACATATTAGTTCACTATTTTTCAGTTAAATTGATGACCGAGGATAATAGTAGGATTATTGCTTAATATATATAAGTATAATTAAATTTTCATGCAATATATCTTAAGATGTATTTTGAAAGAGTTTGATGACGCAGTTATAATTACAGGATTTTAAACCCAGTTTTAGGACTACATTGGCAAAACAGGTGTTGATTGGGTTTCAGAAACGGGGTAGTTTTGCCGTGATGTAGCGAAAAATAACATGTTTGTTTTCCTTGAATTGCCTTGTGCAACATATATTGCGTAAATTTCTATAACTATGCTCTTATTATAATATTCAATGTTAAGAAATACACTTGAGTATGGTATGACAAATTGATGATTGTAATATATATATATATATATATATATAT